GACACGTTTGACGGAGACATTACGCACGAAACGCCGGCCCGTCTGACGCATGAGGATGAAGTTTAGGCGGTACTTCTCCTTCCCGTCGTTGGAGCTCTGGAATTTGTGCTGCACTCCACGTTTCGGTGTCCGGAAGTAGGTGTTGGTCAGGGAGAGTTGGTTGTCTGATGCCAGTCCAAGGAGTCGTTCCCCGTTGTTGTTCATAATGTCGCGTCCGTACGCGCCCATAATCTTGGCATCGCAGCACCCGTCTCGCCTCCTACCAGTACGTGCGTTGGCGTCCATTAGCACCACGAGATGGTCACGGCTGTGAACCTCCCGGATCGCTTAATTGAGAGCAGTCCAGAAGGAGTCCTTGGCGTTAACATCACCGCCCGCAGTGGTGCGGACAGTTTCCGTGGGGGCGTACCCCACCACGAAAGCTACTCCGCAGGTGCGGCCAACTTGTAGACGCACCTTCATCAGCTTCGGGCTAATGCACTCCACCGTCCTACCTTCCTCGCCCACACTCTCCCACATGGCCTCCTTGATCGCAATGCCCACGCCGTANTTTCCGTGGGGGCGTACCCCACCACGAAAGCTACTCCGCAGGTGCGGCCAACTTGTAGACGCACCTTCATCAGCTTCGGGCTAATGCACTCCACCGTCCTACCTTCCTCGCCCACACTCTCCCACATGGCCTCCTTGATCGCTATGCCCACACCGTGTACGCCCCTCTTGTCCTTGGTGCCAGCACGGGCGCCACTCCAAATGATCACGTACCCGTCGTGTGCAATTGAACCTTGCCCCTCTCGTCGGGTCTCCTGAAGTCCTATCACATCACAGCCGGTCGCGGAACAAATCTGCATGACCGTCATCACCTTGTGACCGATGGGGTTCCTACCGCTGTAGGCGGGCGTGCGTACGTTGAACTTGCCGAACGATAGGTCGCCCTCTCGTGCCTTCTTCTTCGCAGCCGCCTTGACGGCCGCTGCGGTCTCGTGTCTCTCTCGGTCCACCTCGCGTTGCGGGTGTGCTTTCTTCCGTATTTTCCGAGCGGCGAATTTCCTCGCATCAATCCATCTCTGCAGAGCTCGGTTCTTGCCTGAGGTGTTTTGACGAAAAGGGTGCAGCACTCCCTCCCCGCGGTGCCCGCGGTTGTCTCCCTTCTCCCGCGAGCGGTGCTTACTGACGTGGTGTTTACCACCATCTCTACCCCCTCCAGCTTCGTGGGCCACGCTTTCCGCGACGATGGTTGCCAGGTGCAGTTTGCCGCTTTGTGTTACTGCCGCGGGAACAGTGTCCATTCACACCTCTCGCCACTACCACCGTCTGTGCATCCTCACCGCCACGCTGAGCCAGCGCAGCGGTGAGTTGCACCTTGGGAAACGACCCGCCTACTATCTGTTGTGGCCTGGTTCGCCCGCGAGGGACTCACTAGGTCGATTTCGGCCCCGGCCGGGGAGCAGGCGGAGGGGGAAAAGTGTGTTGTTCTCAGCGGAAGGACATATAAGAGGGCAATCAATCACATCGCAGGGAAGATTGCCATCCTCAACCTGTGCATCAATGAACGGTCAAGCAGTATCTCGACCAAAAACAGCTCATCAACCACTTACTTGTTAGTACGGCTACAATGGGAGACACTGGTCGCCATCCATTACGAAAAAGGGGGCGCAGATTTCTACGTCAACTCTCCCTGACTTCAGAGCAAATATCTCAGGCTCAAACGGTACAGGCTGGAAAACAATTCCGACATTATCAATCAAGTCAGTGTGACCGCGGCGCCCCGTCCCCCGCCATACCAAAACGAGACAGCAACAGAATGCCACACCACCATCAATATTCATCATGCAAAGACGCCTCATGCATCTACCTGTGCGACGAGCTACTAAGATGAGCATGGGGGACCGTAGGCTGCCTGCGTAACAGCTACAACCACAAGGGGGCAGCATGCAAATCAGGAAAAACAAGACGCACACACAACCTTCATTGGTAGTGAAAAGGCGGAATTTCCGCTTTTTGGCCGTCAGCATCCGGTAAATTGGCTTCTTCATCGACCACCACTTCGCGGCCACATCTCACTTCAAAGGTTGCCATGATGGGATCGGCGGAGTCGCAAAGAACGCCATGAAGAGAAGGGAGAGATTTGGCAAGCGAATCACGGGGGCGGACGGAGTGGTCAGCTTTTTGCGAAGCTTTTTTCGGGAGAAGGCAGGAAGCGAGGGGGAGAAGGGTACGCGGAGGTACTTCGTGAAGTGGTCTCCGTGCCGCATGCGGAGGGTGCACGTCGAGTTTATCGGTATGAAGGAGATCTTGTTCATGTGTTTGGATACGGACTGGTTAGATCTACCGGCAACAACAGAGGGCACGCAGATGGGGAATATGTACACCTTGAAATGGTTGCATGTGCGGGGACCCCTCGAACTCCAAAGAGGGCTTCACTTCTCCCTACTCCCCTTGCGTGTCTAATACAAGAGATGAAACGTCTTCCCCTTCCAAGTAAAGGACATATGCGAACACACTAGTGTCAGTCCCTCCAGGGAAAGTCCATTAGGAATGTCAGGTCGCAAAGATGGGGGTGACTCCTTCAGCGACTCTGCGGCGGAAGACAGAATGAGGTCAAGAGAAGAGCTCGTGGCCCTGAGGACGCAAGTTAGCTCGCTGACGGATCAGATGAGCCAGCGATTGTCGCTAGTGGAAGATTCCATGAAGGCAAGCAAGAAGGAGGAGCCAGCTGGCACCATGGAGGGTGCCGCTGATCGTGGCGATGCTGGGGAGAGCGCCGCCGCGGAGTCCACGAACGCCGAAGGAGGGGCACCATGGACCGGGAGTGCGCAGGACGGGAGGTACCTGCGCGAACATGTTCGAGAGTCTGGCCCGTCAGGGCGACAGAGCGGCGAAGCAGGGGGCTTTGTCCCCCAAGAGGTGAGAGTAGCCGCTGCTCACAACCAAGATTATAGTAGTGCCATGGGAGATGGTGCTGCTGCTGTTGGCTTTGGATACGGAGCCACAACCCCAGCAACGGGGTACCAAGATGTGCGGTACACTTCTCCTCCGTTCAGCGGGAAATTGAAAGATCGAATGGCTAAATGATTTCCGCATGGCAGCTAATGGCGCAAACCTGTTGGAACAATTTGAAGAGAGCGGGAGCTTGGAGATCCCCGTCAACAGCGGAAAGATCAAGTTTTCGCTGTCACAGCAGTACCGGAGCGAGCAAGTAGAGCTCGCATTCCACGCGTGGAACTTCCTGTCTCACGCGTTGAAAGAAAAAGATCGGAAAATCATGAAAAGGGCAGAGACGCCCCAGGGAGCTCTTCGTGAGCTCAAGACCATACACGACCCTGAATCATCTGTACAGCCGTCAGAGGACCTCAAGTCCCTGACGTCGACCAAGATCTCTAGAGGTGAAAACCCCCAAAACGCCCTCAATGAGATGCTCCAAACCGCAAATTCCTAAACCGAGAAAGGTTTAACTGTCAACGAAACGTTCGTCCTTCACCTCTTCCTGGATTCCCTTTCGGACGAGTATGCCATGACAAAGCACAACCTGCGACACGCGAAGGAGTTGACGCGGACGGTGTGCCAAAGGAAGTAATGATCGAATACAAGGCGACCTAGGACAAGCTGGAGCAGGGGGAAGGAAAAGGCGCGAAGGGCGCAGAGCAAGCGTACTTCGCCGACGGTGAGGGCCGCAGGGAGCGGAGTCAGGGGCAAGGTCGTGGTCGTGGCGGCGGCCGTGGCCGCAGCAGCAGTCGTGGCCGCGGCGGCGGCGGTCGCGGCGGCCGCTCAGGCGGATCCGGAGGAGTCGAGGAGAGCAAGGGAAGCAGCAGTGGAGGCGCCGATGGCGGCGGTGGCGGGGACTATAAGTTCCCGGGCCGGTGCTTTAGGTGTGGACATCGTGGACATCAAACGATCGGCTGCACTACCAACGAGAAGGACTTCGTGCCGTGGTGTGCGCGCTGCGAGGGGTGGGGCCACACCAAAGAAAAGTGCGCGACGGAGGAGGCCGTCCTAGCGCAAGTGGTGGAGCATGAGAGCGACGTGGACTCCGTGGAAGACCAGGCGTTTTGTGCCGTGGCAGTCCCCCCAGGCGAGTGTGGTACCGTTGGTGAAGTAGGTCTAGTGGGGGTTGCGGAACAAGGCCAGACGGTGTACGTGGCCGACACAGCGGCCACGTGCTTCATGTTCCGATGTGCAGACAACTTCGTGAGCTACCGTGAGCGTAGCGGTTGGGTGAAGGGGATCGGAGGCGACAAGGCCCCCGTTCCTCTTTTAGGATACGGAGATGTGACCTTAGTCCTACAGACGGAAGATGGTGGAGTACCCGTACCAGTACTGAATGCTGCCCATGTACCAGAGGCCCCCTACAACCTCCTCTCGCTGTCTTCGTTGGCGGAGGAGGGCCACACGTATTCGGGGATGAAGGGGGGCCTCACGCTGACCACGAAAGCCGGGGGGGTGTGTGTGGTTCCCCCGGACTGAAAAGATGCTGACCCAACGAGGCTATCAAATAAAGCCGACGCGACACACCGCCCGTGCCGCACTCCTTGTTCCTGGCGATGCGAAAGCAGCCAACCCCACTGACCTCAACGAGTACCACCTCGCGCACGGCCATGCCCACGAGACATTGCTCAGGATCACGGCGGAGCAGCAGGGAGTGCAGCTGACGGATGGACCGCTGCTACCCTGTCTTGGCTGTTCGATGTCCAAGGGACAGGTGAAGCACGTCCAGAAGAGCACGAGCACACGCGCAGTTAAGAAGTTATTTCGCGTGTATCTCGACTTGGGGGGAAAGATGAGAACCAGGAGCATTGGTGGCAACTGGTACACACTGATCATCAGAGACGATTTCTCCCGTTGGACGCGTGTTTTCTTCTTGAAACACAAGTCTGACGCAGCGGTTGGGTTTGAGAAGTTCCTGGCGGACTACCGAACGAAAAGGGTTCCATGTGAGGTTTATATCGCACGTACCGACGGTGGCGAGTTCCAGGGGCAGCTTGCGGAAGTCTGCCGCAGACACGGCATCAAACAAGAGNGCCCAGAAGAGCACGAGCACACGCGCAGATAAATATCGCGTGTATCTCGACTTGGGGGGAAAGATGAGAACCAGGAGCATTGGTGGCAACTGGTACACACTGATCATCAGAGACGATTTCTCCCGTTGGACGCGTGTTTTCTTCTTGAAACACA